GTGCATCGGCGCGGCCGCGTTCTCCCAGTGCGAGGAGTGGAGTTTTTTCCACGCCTATTACTACTGTTTCATCACGTTGACTACCATCGGGTTCGGGGACTACGTGGCCCTGCAGACCAAGGGCGCCCTGCAGAAGAAGCCGCTCTACGTGGCCTTCAGCTTCATGTACATCCTGGTGGGGCTGACGGTCATCGGCGCCTTCCTCAACCTGGTGGTCCTCAGGTTCTTGACCATGAACAGCGAGGACGAGCGACGGGACGCCGAGGAGAGGGCGTCCCTGGCCGGGAACCGCAACAGCATGGTCATCCACATCCCCGAGGAGGCGCGGCAGGGCCGGCCCCGCTACAAGGCGGACGCGCCGGACCTGCAGTACGTGTGCTCCTGCACCTGCTACCGCCCGCAGGAGTACGGGGGCCGCCCAGCCGCCCAGCAGAACTCCTTCAGCGCCAAGCTCGCCCCCCAGTACTTCCACTCCATCTCGTACAAGATCGAGGAGATCTCACCAAGCACGTTGAAAAACAGCCTCTTCCCCTCCCCCATCAGCTCCACCTCCCCCGGGTTACACAGCTTTACCGACAACCACAGGCTGATGCGACGGCGGAAGTCCGTTTAGGGTGCGGGGCATGCCGGGCAGGCGGGAAAAGTCGCTTGTCCTCCTTGACGTCAAGTGCCACCGGCCCACCTCGTCTTTTCGTTCTCATTTATTCGTTCCGGGCATCCTTGGTTGTGATGGTCATTGTCACGATTACCTTCCCTCCTTCCTTTTCCCTCCCCCCCCAGGTTTCACGTCCTCCCCCACCGCCCCCGGCGAGACAGAGCAGGCCCAAGGGGAGAGAAAGGCCCGACTCCCTCTGAGACTCGCGTCTGAGCATGAAGCATGGATTCCTTCCTCCCTTCCTTCCTTCCTTCCCAGCGAAGAATGCCTTACACCCCTCCCCAGCCTGCCCCACCTCTGGGGTGGCTCTCCCAGGACAGGTGTGAGACCAAGACCACCAAGCAGAGCTGAGAGAATATATCCGACCCAAAGTTGCCCCCCAGGCTGCCAGCCGGCCAGGGACCACCGACGTGGTGTCTGCCCTAACTTCCTCCCTCTCGTCCTCCCGAGCACTGGGTGGGTGTGCGTGCGCGGATGGTGTGTGAGTGAGTGCACACGCCCGTGTACCTGTGTGTGTGTGTGTATCGTGTGACAAAGCGGAAAGTGGCAGGTATTAATTTTTCTTTTCCACGACACAGTTCTGTTAAGAACCTGCTTTCAGCTGCTTCCAAACAAAAATGGGAAAACAAAACCCACGAGGCTTTTGATTTACCATTCTGCCAAATCAAGCATGCTCCATAAGCAGGCCCTATCCCAGATGTGTCATGACCATATTCTTTAGACGCTACGTTCTAAATTATATTAACTTCTTTTTCGGGGTGGGTGGGAAAGAAGATACGGATCATCTTAGCTTGCCAGTTCAAAAATTTTTTAAAAGCATGCACTTTGTTAAAACTGGTATGCATTATCAACGCAAGAAAACAGAACTAGCAGCGGAATTAATCAAAAGCCAAGAATAATACGAATTAAAGACATTTTTAATTTTATCATCTCCAGTTCCAACAATTTACCGCACAACTGGAAGCGTCAGGGGAAACTGGAAAATTGTTGGAACCTCAGAGTACCTATATTTGTTATTTCCCTCTCACTTACATGGTGGTGATGGTGGTTTATGCAGCACCGATCTGCATAAGTAGGTATCACAGTGTGGGATGCTTGGATGAGAATGGGTATTCGTGGATGTGGTTTCTTTTCCTAATAAAAAAATGACAGGGCATTCCTTGTTTAAAAAATATATATATATATGTATGTATGTAGTTCAAGAAAGACGGTCTCTAATTGCATTTGATTTGTAAATAAGGGCAAGTCTGTGTTGGTCTCAGGAAGCGTTTGGAGGTAAGGGTGGTGTCTTGGCCTGTTGGGAACTTGTCGATCTCTGGGGATGGTTTTCCTGAGGAGTGGAGAAATTCCTCCCCACCCTCCCTTTAGATGGCTCAATGGGAAGGCCTGTTAGTCTCCTGGGGGCAGCTAGGTCATTGAATATGGCATGTTGCAGGCCTTTTCAATGACAGGAGTAAAGTCTGGTGCCTTTCATTTGCCTGGTCGCCACCCCTGTCATTTGTAAAACTCCCCTATCCTCCCATGGCTTCTACATAAACTCAAAGGTCACGGCTCTTGGATAGAAAAGGGCTTTAACTGCTTTGCCCAGAAGCAGCAGTGGGAGGCCCCGTGGGATCTCCCAGAAGGGAGGATCTCCCTGGAAAGAGTGGACCTTCAAGCTTCCTGAAGGGAGAGGGCACTAAATGCCACCAGTCCCAAGCACCTGGGCCACTGGACTGAAATGCAGCAGTCCAGGCTCCTCCAAAGAGGCAGATACTGCAGTGTTTATGTCACATGTTGAAAATGGCGCCTGCGTCAGGACACAGAGCCTGAGGAAGGGGTCCGGGAACCACAGCCTCTCGAGGCCAGAATAGACCGTTCTCAACCTTCAAGGTTGTCTCAATGCACTCATTTTGAATAGATGCATATTTTAGGGATAAAAATTTGTCCAGAAAATAGAAGCAGTTAATTTTTTTTTTCCCATCGGAAGAAATTTTTGGTGATAGGGGGTCACGGGTATGAAAATACTAGCCCATCCTTGCAGAGTGCTTCATGTATTGGAGGAGTCCGCTTAGAAGAAGTGTGAGGTTTCTCATCAAAACCTTTGTAAGGTGTGTCCTCAGATGTCTTTGATCTAGAGAGGAGACTGAGGTACTGAGAGGGTGAGGGGTTTGCTCAATGTCCCAGAGCTGGTCCTGGTCCAGGAAGCGGACCCCACCACATCACGGTGTCCTCGTTAGGCCCTCTACTGAGGGCACCTGCCTCTCTGTCCACAGGTAGGTGCACCAGGACTCTGGAGTCAGAGGAGCATGGGCTCAACTCTTCATTCAGAGCTGGTTTCTGGACTCAAATATCCATTTAAAGTGGCCTTCTACTTAAATGCCTCCAGTGACAGAGAGCTCCTCCTTTCTTGGGGAGATTGGGAAAACATTCCGTATTCTATATTTCCACAGAGTTGACTGTTCTGTATAGGATTAAGGATCGTAGGATGGAGTTTTTGCTGTTCAGTGATGACCACCAACTTAAATATTGGAAGCAGCATGGAACCTGTCCTGCCATATTCCTCTTATTTCTCTGTCCTTGGCGACTGTTCAGCCCTCTGAAGGACAATCAGTGAGTCTTCTCTTCCAAAGTTAAACATCCTTTTTCATGCTTGGTATATTGAGGGGACAGAGGGGAACCTAGCTTTGCTTCTTTTGTGATGGCCATCTCTTTCTTAGGTGATGGCCCAGCGGTTCGCTACCGTGGTCTCTGGCCAAGGAGTTCTCCATGCGCACCAATGAGGTGCTCTCTTGGGGACAGTGAGTCAAGGGCCTCCAGGGTCCTTCTCTTCCAATAAAATGGGTCTGAGGAATCTCCATCTAGGGCTTGGACACCTGAGACCTGCTCAGTCAGCACAAGAATCCTCAAAAAGCCAAGAGGAAGCTTAGTCTGAGTCACCTCACCGAGATCCCTCATTTTTCGGGGGGTGGGGGAGGAGTTGAGGTGCAGAAAGAGTGAGCTGGCATCTCAGGTCAGCCAGCCAGGCCCTTGGTCGTCTTGTGGGTTTCTCCTGCTTTCTTTCTGGCTCTTCGGTCACTGCTCTTGCTTATACCCCCAAGGTCCTTCAGCACCTCAAGGAGTCTCTGTTCCTCCCTCTCATGCCTGGCGACTTCTTTCCGGAGTCAGGCTTCTCACACCCTTCCAGGGAGCAGTGCCCACTCGGTGAAGGGGAGAAGTCACAGGAGTTTGGAGGCAGGCTTCAGCTTCAGTTAGGACGAGCTGAGAAGAGCTGCATTCCACCTGAATCACAGGGGGACTGGCTGGCCACCCAGTTCTAGAAGCAGGGTCTAAAAGTCAATATGCCTTGTAGATCCTTCAAGAGCTTTTGGACTCTTGCTCGAACGTTTTCCGCCTAGGAGATCTTAATCCATCCACTCCACCAAAGACAGGAGGGTGGGCAGTGGCCCTAATGGTCCCAAACAGGTCTGGGTGCTTTCTAGAGACCTTCCCTGTTTCCCTCTTCACCACACCCTTGCTGGGTGGAAGGTGCTATCACACCACGGGACTGTTAGACTCTCATTTACCTCAGAGTGAACCCACTGTCTGGGTTTTTGAGATGCCTGCTTAGCCCCGGAGCTGGGATCGGGTCTCTTCCCACCCACACCCCTTTGTCTTGAAACCCAGGCAGCAGACCCTTCAGCGCAGTCAGCTGCCCGGTGCTCCCTGCAGCATCTGTTGTGCTCCTGCCGTGCATCACTGATGGGGAAGAGCTGCCTGCACTGGGCATGATCACAGCAGGTCATTTGCAGCCCAAAGATCCCCACTGGGAGAGGAAGCGGATGGACCCAGGCTGTTGGCCAGGAGGCCCGCCTTTGCAGGCGCTGAAACCCCATCTGTAAAAAGGGGAGGGTGACTGCAGAACCTTGGCTGTTTCTTCTCTGTGCAAGGGGCCTTGAGTGGGGAACCGTCTGGACAGTAACTCAGAAACCCACCAATAAGTCTAGGAGGTCGTTTTTCTCTGCCTCACCTAGATCTGAAAGCCTTGTGGATCCTGATTCCTAGCAACGATCACTAGCAGCTGGAAGGAACGGGTTAGAGGCGTTCACTGTGTGTGCACATTGACTTGGAGAGGGAGGTAAGAGCACAGATGATCAGAGGAGGAAAGCCACCCACCACTGAGGTCTATGGCCCTATTTCTTTACGCAGTCTTTTTAAATAATTGGCCCTAATTAAGATACCAGTTACGGGCATCCACAGAGGCGTGAGGTCTGAGGTCTGTGTTGGAATGCATCCATTCTACTAGTGTGACGGGTACCACCTTCTGAAGTGCTCCAAGAGGGGTGTCAGACTGGGCGCGTGTCACGTGCAGGCCTGCTGCTGGGGCTCTGATGTGGGTTTCCTCCGGTAATGGCTTGTGTGGGACTCTGGACGCCTCCCAGTAGAGGAAGGGTTGGCAGGGCAGGGACCTGGTGCATACCTGCTGCTTCGCTGGGCCCCCAGAAGTCATAGGACCTTCCCAGACCTCTTACTGTCCCATAACACGACGGGACAGCTTGGGTGGGATTGATGAGCACTTAGCACAAAATGAATTTGACCCACGAAGACGTGTGCCCTGGGTGCCCCCATCAATGGGCATATTTGAAGGTCAGGACACCAGAAAGAATACCAGCAACGATTTGGTTTGGCAGGGTGCTGGGGAGACAGAGAGGGACATGTGGTGACACCGAGAACAGAGGTCATCACGTGAACCAGGACCCGTACGTTCTTGACCGCACACCTTGGTAGGCGCTGCTGTTGGGGGGTGGGGTGGGGGGAGATCTTGTTTGCATGATTCTCCCCACCGACTGTTTTGAAAGTTCCAGATTAAAGTTGAGAGAACAGCATGATGAATTGCCGTATACCTATCACCCAGACTCCCCAATGTTTGGTACTTTGTGACATTTGCTTACCTCTCCCACCCTTCCCATGCCCTCATGCCCATGCTGAGGTATGTGGAG